AAATAAAAATGCACAAAAATTAATTGAAATTTATTATCGAAATGAAATTAGAATCCCATTAATTAAGAAATATCAAAATAATGATACAACTAAAAAAGATTCAAATTTAGCAATCATTAAATCATCCATTAGTAATTTAAACACTATTGAAAATTTAGCTAATAATAATTACAATTGTTGTATTTGTTGGCAAATAAATGGTTGCAATGAAATTTGCAAAAAATATTTTCAAAATTTTGGTAGATGTCACGATTGTGGGGATTTGCATATAAGAGAAAATATATGTAAAAATTGTAAACACATCGAATTAAATTATATATTAAAATATCCTAGTAGTTATAACGATTTAGTTGATGTAATGATTCAAGCAACTCATTTAGATGAAAGTGCAAAGGAATGGGAAACTTGGAGATGGATTGACTATAGTAAATTTTCAAATATTGAATATTTATCTGAAGGGGGGTCTGGAAGTGTTTGGAAAGCAGAATGGATAAATATGCCTGAAGAAATATTTGAATTCTATAATACAAATCAAGTTGTTTTGAAGAAACTTAAAAATTTACAAGAAATCAGTTATGAATTTTTTTCTGAGGTAAATATTAAATATGTCAATATATTTTTTTTTTAATTTTTTTTTTAACATATAGAATATTTATTTTTTAATTTATAATTTCATAAAATAGTTAATAGTAAATTTCTATTGTCGAAATAAATATGTCTTACCAATTTTGGCTATAACTCAAGAACCAATGACAAAAGAATATGCAATAATTTTACGATATATGAAACATGGAAATTTAAGAAGTTTTCTTCAACAAAATAAGGCATTACCTTGGATTGAAAGATTATGGTTGTTGAATTCTTTTATTAGTGGATTAGAAGTCATACATAATAAAGGATTTATTCATCATGATCTTCACCCCGGTAATCTTATGGTAACTGAAGCATATAACAATGCAAGATTTATAAGATTGGGAGATTTAGGATTATGCAGACTTGCAAATGAAAATTCATCACTTGGAGCATATGGTGTATTACCATATATTGCACCAGAGAGATTGGAAAAAAACCAATGCACACAAGCTTCTGATATATATAGTGTTGGAATTATTATGTGGGTAATATCAACAGGAAAAATACCATTTGCTAACAGAGCATATGATTCAGAATTACTTTTTAACATTCTTGATGGACTTCGACCAGAAATTAATAAAGGTACACCCCAATGTTATGTAGAGTTGATGAAAATGTGCTGGCATAAAGAACCATCTAAGCGTCCAAATACAGAAATGATTTATAATTTATTAGGCGAATGGATTGGACATTTAAATGGTAATATAAAAACAAAAAATTCACAAATGTTTTTAAATGCAGATCAAGAAATATATAAAGAAGATTTTGAATCATTATCTATTGATACTATTCATCCTGAAGCAACTTTAATAAGCAAACCTTTACCTCTTTTACCTCAAATACAATATTCAAATTTCGATCTTGACAATATTGATTGGAATGATCCTTAAATAAATAATATTTAAAATCAAAATATATAAATTAAATAAATATATTTAGTTATTTATTTTCATCCATGCATTATTGTTTTTTATTATTTATAAATAAGGATAATTATGAGTTTACTTGTATGATTACTTTAAGGTAATAATTAATGATTTTACCTTTTATAAGCGAGTTAGATCCAGATAGAAAGGATTTATTTGACTGTAAATGGAAAAAATAAAAAGAATAGATCATTAACAAAAGAATGATATTCTCTGGGATTTACATAATGATGTAGGAACTACAATACATATGAATAAATTGAAGAATAAATTGTTGATGCTGGAGAATGTGGAGAGTGTCATGTTGAGACTTTTTTTTTTTATTTGCCTTCGCCATTAATTTTATTATATCAAAAATACAATAATTTTTTTTTTTTTTTACATAAGGTATAAGCTAAGATTAGAAATTTTCCAACCTACCACCCCACCATTCGCTAAAATACGTAAAAAACATGCACCAAACTACGATCAGTTTAGGTCAAAAGTACAAAAAAAATTTATTTT